TAACAGCTGAAAACAGAAGAATGTATAGTCTTCCTCACCTGAAATCTCTTTAAGAAATCTCAGAATTGAAGGCCATGTGGCAGAAGAATATAAAGTGAAGAAAAGGAGGGATATAAAGTGACGAGAAGGAAAAAGCGTTGTGGTTTTGATGAAAATTACCTTTGCTCCATGAAGCTGAATGGATGGATCTGCTTCCCCCATGCACTTGCAAATCACCTCTCCAAGCTCCATCAAGTAGGCTTGAGTCATTGAAAAGTAGCCCCTTGCCAGAAGAGCCAATACCTGCAGAGAGAGCATGGAATTAACCCTCTAAGACCTGAGTGCAAGGCTGCAAAATCCAGAAAAGTGTCATAATATTTCAGAAATCGCTTATGTTTAACAGGGGCTGAAATCTGTCAAATGAAATTAAGAACCATAATCTTTATTTCATGACTAACATCAATTAACTGTATCATAGTTTTATGGTGCTTTAGTATATGATTGCTTTTCATTAATGTAATATCATTTAAGTCTTGGAACTATTCTTTAAGTTAGGTATTAATTGAATTTTACCGCTAAAGATACTAAGCCTGACAAGGTTAAAGGATATGTTTCATGTTGTCCAGTTAATCAGCAGCAGACCCCAGGACCAGGCCTAGTCTCAGATCACATTTGTATAGAAAAAGTAAACTCTTTTATCTAGGATTGTTTTCTTTCTTTGAAGGAACAATTATTTTGTTGCTCTAAGCAGGTACAAGACCAAGGAGAAGCTGATAAAGAATTAAACATTTAAGTTGAAAAAATCGAAAATTAACTGTACAATTTCACTCAGAATTCTTCTACCATCTATTACATCCACCTGTCATGTAATACCTGAAGTGACTAAAATAATTTGCAATCAAAGAACAAAGAGGAATGAATCTGCTATTTTGCAACCAAGGAACACCTCCCCAAAACAAAACAACAAAAACAATAGACCACCCATACCTAAAATACGACTCCGGCAAACACAATTGACACATGGCTTGGTTTTACCTGCCCGCTCCTCACGGGCACTCTGAAGGAAAAATGGTTCCTTCCACTTCAGAGATGAGGACATGAAACCTCCTACCTGTAAGGCCTCCAGTCGCATGGGGGATGGTTCGTAGGCACTTCCTGCTGCAGAGCCAGCATCGCTACCTGAACAGGAATCCTCCTTGGGCAGTACCACAATGGAAATGCAGAGTCGAATGAGCCAGCAGGGCTCTGAAGACCCCTTAGATGAGCTAACTGACCTTTCTTCCAGAGAGGGTCCTGCAGGGGCTTTCTTCCACCAATCAGGAGGGCTGAGGTGAGGGGTTGCTGAATTGCTAGTACCGAGTCCAGAAGAACACGGCTGTTGCAGAAGTAGCTGGACTTCAGGTAAAGGTGCGTGGGTGGACACTATAGCTCCCACGAGTGTGAGATTTGACACGCGAACATTAACATCTGTCAAAAGAAGCAGTAAGAACTTATCACCATGGGAACAGCTACCGTAAAGATGGTAGTTATCCCTGCAGGCAATTAAGAATAGTTCCTTGTGTAACCTGAATCTAATCAAACTTCTAGACCTCATTTCCAGTTTGGAAATACATGGGACAGGAGAATAAGTTAACACCATAAAGAAACAATCTGACACATTAAGAAAGTGGTTTATTTTGTTATCTTTGGTGATGAACTTAGAGTTCACATTCTGTAAGACAATTGGGCTGGATTCTTTCCTAAGTCAGTTTGATGTAAAAAAGATGGGTGAGGGGACTCTAGATTTTAAAAGACTACAGTAACATGATAACTAAATGCAATGCATGTACACTGAATGAACCCCGGATTTTAACAAGAAATATTTATAAAAAGCTAAATAAAAGGTCTATGCCTAGACTCATTTTTTTTTTTTCTTGCATGTGATGTCCAGCTGTTCCAGCACCGTTTGTTGAAAAGTATCCGCTCCTTTGTTGTAGCTCAGTTGACTATATTTATGTGGGTCTATTTCTGGGCTCTCTATTCTGTTCTACTGATCTGTTTATCTCTTCCTTGACCAATATCACACTTTCTTAATTAATGTAGTTTTATAGTAGATTTTGAAGTTAGGGAATGCCAGTCCCTCAGTTTCGTTCTTCTCTATCAATATTGTGTCAGCTATTCTGGATCTTTTGCCTATCCATATACATTTCAGAATCAGTTCGTTGATATCTGCAAAGTAACCTGCTGGAATTTTGATTGAGACTGCACTGAATCTATAGATCAAGCTGGAAAGAAGTACCATCTTTACAATATTGAGCCTTCCTATCCATGAACATGGAATCTCTGTCCATTCATTTAGTTATCTGATTCATTTCATCAGAGTTTCACAGTTTTCTTCATATAGATCTTGTACATATGTTGTTAGGCTCACACCTAAGAACTTCAGGGTTTGAACATTTTAATGAAAAAAAGTGACTTGAGGATAAAGTCAGATACTTGAAAGGAACCTTTGAGACACGGTGCACTCTCTTCAGCTGAAGATGTAGATAATGAAAAGCTGGTACGGTGGAATGAGCAGGGGTTGTTTTCATCTTATTTCTTGTGTAGGTTCTATACTGCAAAGGAAAATGTAAGATTAAAAGT